CACCTACAGGATAGAGTAAGACACTGACCCCTAATATTAGGATTAAGTCTCATGGCACACACTTTTAAGACTGGTACAACTGATCTTTTGGGTATTTAACAACTGAGGTTTGGACACTAAAATTAAAAAAGGATAAAAGGACTAAGAGAACAGTAAGTATTTTGGCTTTTGCCTTTCAAAGCCAGCACCCGGGCATGACAAAACCCTGCTAAAAGGGTCCTGCAATTCTGGTGAGTCACCCAACCTGATCAGGGTTGGGGCACCAGAGGACAGGAATCAACCAATGTGCATTTTGCAAAAACGAGCATCACTGAAGGAGGAAATGTCTTCATGTTGCCAGGTGAGACCATATGGTTGGGTAAGACCATGACTCAGCTTGGCAAATGACACAGTTGGTAGAGAGAAAAACTAGAGGGGGGCCAGGGAGATGGCTCAGTAGAATAAGTGCTTCCCTGGCAAGCACAAGGGTCTGAGTTCAATCCCCGGATCCACAAAGAGAAAAACTAGAGGAGCTGGTAATAGTGCATGCCTATAATCTTAGCACTTGGGAGGCTGAGGAAGAAGGATCACCAAGAGTTCAAGGCAGCCTGGGGTACATACTAAGTTCAAGGCCACCTCAAACTACATACATATTAAGACCCTAGCTCAATTAAAAAAAAAAAAATCAAGAAACAAACTAGAGGAGCTAAGAGACTCCTTATACAGCTCCCAAAGTAATCTTGATCTTGACAAATTTATATGGGTAGATTGACTCTAATCAATACAGGTCTTAAGTACCCATATTATTCCCAAATGGAGTAATAATATAAAACAAAAAAGTTAGATTATCTATTAAAAAAGGGTACTGCACCAAGCCCTACTCCAGTTACACCTATAGTATCATGGCCTACAGCTCTGGAGGTCCTGACTCCCAGTTCCACTGGTTCTTCCAAAGATGTGTTCTTCAGTCTATATTACTATTATGTTATTTTAATGTACTTTCAAGTATCTCAGAAGATTGCTTCCTATATGTGCCCACAAGATAAAAATGCCAACATAAACATTCTAGCTATTAAGCTTTATTACTTTTATTACCTTTGTCTATGTCACCTGGAGCGAATCACTACAAAAGGTATTCAGGTCTACAAACAGAGGCCAGATACCAGGTTCTGAGTCTTGTAAGCATTTTAATGGCCCCATGGTCACACTGAAACACAGACATCTTTACTTAGTGTAGCGTTTGGCCTTTGTTATAATGAAAATAGGAAAGTATATTTCTTACTGACAAAACAGGGAGGAGTCTGTATGCGCTTGAACTCTGTATGCTATACCTGGGTTAACCTCTGAACAAATAGAGGTTAATATTAAACATAAAAGGCTTATGGTAAATGTGACCCAAAACTTTTTGAAGCCATCACTCACTAATATTTTCCTTTTAATTTTTGGTCCTTGCTTATCTAACATGGTTATAAAATGAAGTTAAAAATTCAATGACTTCAGGAAGCCAGGGATATAGCTCAGTGGTACAGCGCCTTCCAGAGAAGTGCAAGGTCCTGAGTTTGATTCCCAGAATAACAACAACAAAAATCAATGATTTGCTAATGTCCTTGTCCTCTTTTCCAGACTATCAAAAATGATGGCTCTTCAAACAAGAGTCTGACATTCCTATGTCTCCTTTAGGTCAGTCACAGTGAGACTCCTGACCCTGCATAGCAAAGGTCAGTATTTCCCTCTTGGCTTGAAGCAGGCATTAAAAAGCTAGATCTCTGATCCATTTGTAACCCTTAAGAGTAAGAGATCAAAGTCTGGGGTGGGCTGAGCCAGGATAGAAGATAGGAAAAAAGGAGAAAAGGAAAATAATTTATAATTTGTACTTTTATGATTGCACCCTCAGGACAAATCAAAGTTACCCAAAGTTATCCATATCTGTATTCCTTAGGCTTGTTTATGCTTCTTTTATTCCAGGTCCACTCTACTCAAAATCTGTTAGATACTTTAAGTCTGTAAGTTAGATAAAGAATGGAAACATGGGCTGGTGAGATAGTTCAGTGGTCTAAAGTGCCTGCTTAAGCAAACTTAGGCAAGCATACAGAGGCCGTGGTTCAATCCCAGGCACCACATGCAATGCCAGCCCTGCCCCCAGGGTGGGCTGAGCCAGCCAAAAAAAAAAAAAAAAAAAAAAAAAAGAAAAAGAAAAAAGAATGGAAACCTGACCTTAAAATAGAAAAAACAGTCTCAGAAGGCTGAGGCAGGAGGACTGCTTGAGTTTGAGATTAGCCTGGACTACACAATGGGTTCAATTCTGGCCTTAATTACATAGTAAGAAGAGACTGAAAAAAACAGAGTTGGTGAGATAGCTCAGCGGTCTAAAATGCCTGCTTAGGCGAGCTCCTGCTTAGGGGATTTGATTCCCTGAACTACATGCCATGCCAGCTCTGCCCTCTGGGCAGGCTGAGCCTACAAAAAATATATAAATAAATAAACTTTTTAAAAAACCCACACACAGAAGAAAAAGGCAAAATATCTTTGATCAGACATCCTAATAACAGACAAACCACAACAGTCAGGGCCCTGCTCTTCCCCTATAAAATGAGCCTTCCTTCCCATGCAAAGTAAGCTATTTCTTTCTACTTGTGGTATGCAATCCCTTTTTCCTATAAATCAAGTTGAAACTTTCTATAGATTCAAATTAAACACAGCCCTACCCATTTCAACACATAAATACTCCCAGCTCTGTAATTTAGTGCCTGCAGTCTGTTTCTTTAAGGATATACTATGATTGAGGCATTCTGTCTGATATATTTAATAAAAAACATAGTGAGAATAAAGGATACAACAATTATTAATAGACCTGAAAAAAATACAAAGGATAAAATTCAACATATGACAAAGATTCTGTTCTGTTCTTTCTTGTAGCTTACTAGTTTTAGGCCTTATATTTAGGTCCACATTCTACTTTTTTTTTTTTTTTTTTAAGACAATAAAAATAGTAAAACACCACCATCACTAACATTAGAAACAATACAGAATTTCACTGAACAATAGGAATTCAACAATGGTTGTTACACTACAATAATGTTGTCTTCAAATTAGTTGTTTAGATCATGAGATATAAGCATGCAAAATTGATCAAAAAAGTTGTAAGAAATTGAAAAACCAAACAAAAAAAACATTGACTGCTCCTTTCAACAGACCAGCAGTAATCAGTGGTATAATTAATTATCCAAGCTATCTATATATATACATATCGTTTTCCCTTCCTTTTTTCTTTTGTCCTTTTCCACATCCCAGTTGTTCCCTCCCTTTGAACAGATTCTTTCCCTTTCACAGTATCTATTGTACCATTCAGTTTTTATTTACTCTCTCGGGTTCTTACACTAGCAAGACAATATGATGTTTATGCAAGAGGGTCTGATTTATCTCATTTATGAGTATGGTCTCTAGTTGCCACTGTTGTTTTCTCCTGCATAACTGTTCTAGCATCACTGGTGAAGAGACTGAGACAAGAAACAAGATAGACTTTTGTAAATCTCAACTGCTTTATGCTTGATAGCAGAGTGTACACATAAAAGGCTAGGTTCCCACCAATATGACGCTCTAGAATAGAACTACAGAGACAGGAATCAGATCAGTGATTGCTAGAAACAGGAAGAGAAAATAACTACAAGAGAGCAGGCACAGAGCAGATAGAGGAAATGACAGAAATATTCCATACCTGGATTGTCAGCAGTAGTTACATGATAATATACATTTAATAAGACTGAAAACCCCACAAAACTAAAAAAAGTGAACCACTGGGTAGGGTGGCTCACGTTTGTAATCCTGCCACTCCAGAGGATGAGGCAGAACTATTGAGTTCAAGGCCAGCCTGGGCTACACAACAACAGCTTGTCTATAAAACTAAAAAAAGTAAACTTTATGTAAACTACTCTAATAAACCTAACAAATGACAAGATTAAAAAAAGGATACAAGGTTAAGCACAATCTCTGACCTGAAGTCTGAAATGCTCCAAAACTGAGGCCGATATGTAGAAAACTGTACACCTTACTCATCTCTCATGATGAATGCCAATCAAAATACAGACTCATGAAATATACTGTAATGACTGTCAGGCTATCAGGTGCATGTAAAACATAAATGAAAAATATATGTATGTACATGTGCATATATGTGTATGTGTGTATATATGTATATGTATACATCTGTATGTGTGTATATCTGTGTGTGTGTGTGTGTATATCCCCTGAAGTAATTCCTGTTTATACAAATAACCCAGGTACACTGAGCTAGCCAACAAGACTGGGCATGGTAGTGCACGCCTATAATCCCAACACTGGAGAGACTGAAACAGGAGAATCACTATGAGTCTAAGCTGTGTAGTAAGACTCTATAGAAAATACATTAAAAAAAATTTTTTTTTAAAATTTGGGGAAAAACAAATACACAAAAGCACCCCCTAAGATCTCACTCATTTCAAGTAAGGGATAAGGAAACTATTTTCTGCAGGCCTAAATATTCTGAAATCTAATTGTTAACTTAATCCAAGTTGAAAAGTAGCAAAGAAACTAAAATGCAGAAAACTACAGCCAACTCCAGGATCCCTTTTTCTACTACCAATGCTTCCAAATAAGAAGGAAAAATAGGACTAGGATATAGCTCAACAGTAGAACGCTTGCCTAGAATGAATTAGGCTGAGTTTAATCTCTAGCCATGTTTTAAAAAAAGGAAGAAGCAGGGTCATTTATCAGTAAAGAGTAAGTTCATTTTAAATAAAGCAAGATTCAGTATCCATAGGCTAGTACTCTAATAAATTAACAAACAGGGCCAGGCAAGATGGCAAATGCCTGTAATACCAGCCCTCACAAAGCTGAGGCAGGTAGATCGCTGCAACTTTGACACCAGCCTGAGCTACATAGTGAGTTCAAAGCCAGTCTGATCTAACATAACAAGACTCTGTCTCAACAAAAGAAAGAACATGCAAGCAAGCTAACTTAAGATAAAATAATAAAGTGAGATTTACCTTTTGAGTCAGCATTTGGGAACAGCCTGTTCCATGGCACCTTATTTTTGTGTGGAAGAGAAAGCAAATAGTTTCTAGCTTTTAAATTTATTATACAATTCAGGTCTTCTTGTGACGGGGATCCAAGAATGCCTATTGGATAAAATAGTTGGCTGTTAATTATCAAGACCAAGGCAAACAACTATTGGCATTGGGATGAATAAACCCTGATACTGTTGTACTACCACCCAATGCGTTTTTATTTTTACAAGGTTATTAACATTTTAAGTCAAAGAGTGTAAGAAACTCATGTCTACCATAGATAACAGAATTTTTGAGAAGTCTTCATTTAATGGTAAAACTCTGATATAAACTAAACTGTGCTCAGGAACCTTACCTAGAATGTGGTTCAGCTGGTCGAGATAATGCTTTCCTGGAAAGATAGGCCTGTTGGACAGCATCTCTGCCAGAATACAGCCCACTGACCAAATATCAATGGACTTGGTATAGCCCTGCAGCAGAAGGGAGAAAAGTCTGAAAATGCTATCTTTTGTTACATGACAACATAATGAAATTTTGCAAAGAAAGGTATGCGGAGTGCAAGCTTCTCTTTTGATATTATGCTTTAAAAACACACGGAGATAGTACAGAAAAAGATAATATGGCTGGCTTTCTTTCTTTTTGTTGTATCTTAGGGAAGGGTCTACATGGTGTTCAGGGTCTCACTGCTAGATTGGACTCGTAGTGATCTGCCTGTTTAGAGCCTCCCAAGAGCTGGGATTACAGGCACGCACCACCACACCCAGTCTCACTTGCAGTCTCTGGGGTGGGGCCGGCATGACAGGCCCCTGTGCCTGCTTGCAGGTGCTTTAATCCACTGAGCTATTTGGCTGGCCCTTAATATGGCTTTCTTATGAGATGCTGAACAACCAACATTATCTGATTTTCTCTTCAACAATGTTAAGCATATGCTGGTCCAATATTCTCATCTCCTTGTACTCATTTTTAGCTATATATTTCCCTTTAAAGGAATCTACTCAAAGTCATGGAAGCAGGGCCAGCACAATAGCTCAGTGGACTAAAGTGCCTGCGTAGGCAAGCGCAGGCACCACGGTTTGATCCCGGCACCACATGTCATGCCAGCCTCACCCCCAGGGTGGGCTGACCCGGCCAGAGTCTTGCTGTAGTGGCACATGCCTGTAATCCTAGCCTTGGGTTGGCTGAAAGCAGGATGATCACCACAAGTCCAAGCTGCATAGTGAGACCCTGCAACAACCAAATATATTAAAAAAAAAAAAAAAAGTCATGGATACAGTCTATCTAAATCACAACAGAGCATAAAAAGTATTTTTCCAAAGAGCAAAAGTTGGATTTTATAGAAAAAGGTACGAGATATGGAAAAAATGCAGACTAAAAAAAAAAAAAAAAAAAAGTTAAACAGTAAAATTTAGGGAAAGAATGAAATTCCTTTGGAAAATTAAAGAACCAATTATCAGATCATTAGCTATGATAAAATGGGGTAGAGTTTTAAAGTAATTCTAAAACATTTGTAATCTAAAACCTAGGGGCACCCCTCCTGTCCTTCTCTCAGACAGGAGTTTTCTTTCCCCCAGTAAATATATATTCTACTCATAACTTTCCATCTGTTCCTAAAATTCATTCTTCGATTTTAAGGAACATGAACTTGTCCCAGGTACTATTCAAGTCAGGAGTTTTATTTTTTCCCCTATATAACATTTGGAGGTCCCTGTGTCATTTGGAGGTCATCCATTCAGATCACTGGACAGAGGTATAAGCTTGCTTTTCTTTCACAGATTCTGGATTGGGAGTTGCTTAGGTAATATTTTTATGCTTCAAATGTTGGTATGTCTTTGCTCATTGCTCATAATTGTTCATGCTTTGTCTCAGTTTTATCTCATATAGTTCTGTTAAAATTGTTTACAATTGCTTATGCTTTGTTTCTTATATGGTGGTATTAAAATGTTGGTAAATTTAAGTTAAAACGTAAATTTCATGTTATGGTATTTCTCTAATAGGACATTTTATGACTGTTCTGTACTTGTATATATTGCCTTTGAACTAGTTGCTCTTTTTTAAAAAAAAAATATTTTATTTTTAAAAAGAAACAAAAAAAAATTTTTTAAAAAACCTACATAAAGGGAAACCCTGAAAGTCCACAAAAAATAATTAAAAGGAATCAGGTACAGGTACAAATTATCTATGATGAATCTATGATGATGTGATCATTATATCTAAAATGTACCAATAAAACCTAATTTAAAATATAAATAAAAGGAATTAGGACCTTTGGGAAGAAATGGTTGTTCCAGGTCTGGGACAGACAAAGTACCATACAAGCCTGGAGTATCCAAGGTCAGAAAGAAAGAATATGCCTAATGCTTGTAGTGAAGTATCAAAACTAACTCTCATCAGCCAAATCTGGAAACACATAATGGAAGAAATGGATTAAAAATGACAATTAAAAAAAAAAGAAAAAAGAGTTTCCAGACTAGGAAACTTTATAAAAATAGAGAATAGCTCAGTGGTTATCTAGATTTAGGGGAAGGGATTGGGAGATGATAGCGAGGTGGTTTCATTTGGGATTACAAAAATGACCTAAAATCGACTGTAGTCATAGTTGCACAATTCTGTCAAAGTACCAAAATCTACTGAATCTTACATTTTAAGTTTGCAATCTATGTAGTATTCAAATTTTTACCTCAACAAGATTATTTTGTTTTTAATAAAAATCACAGAATAAATACATGGGGACTACTAAAACATGTAATGATAGAATGAAGCTCAGTGGCATGTCCCTGTAATCCTACCTACTTAAGAGACTTAGGCAGGAGAACTACAAGTTGCCAGCTTGGACAATTTAGTGGACCCCTGCCTCAAAATAAAAAAAAGTATCCAGGTATGGTGGCACACTTCTGTAATCCCAGTACTTGGGAGGCTGAGGCAGGAGGATTGCTGAGAGTTTAAGGCCAGGCAGGGTTATACAGTGAATTTAAGGACAGCCCAAACTACATAATGAGATCCCATCACAAAAAATCAATCAATCAATCAGTCAATTAATCAAAATAAAAAAAGGCTGGGAATGTAGTAGCTCAGTAGCAGTGTTTCCTTAAGTTCCATTTCCAGGAGCAAGAGAGGAAGAGAGTGAAAGAGGGCAGGGGGACAAAAGAAGAAAAGAAGGAAGGAGGGTGGGCAAGGACAGGGAGGAAAAAAAGGAGGGAAACAGGTTGCAAGACTAGGAAGGTAAAGTTTGGATAATTTACACAGTCAACTGTTTCCCCACAAACTATTTGTAATTACAAGAGAGAAATGATAGTCTGATGGTGGAGATCTAGAGGATATCATCTTAATCAAAAAGTCAATGTGAACATAACCAACCTGCAGCACAAGCCTGATGAGGATTTTGGTACCCGGTACCAAGAAGAACAAAACATTGTATCTGTAGTATTAGTATCAAAATTTGCGACAAAATTGAGGGACCTTTTACAAAATAGCTGACTGATACTCTTCAAAATGGCACTGGATTTATGTTAATCATATAAGGTATGCTGCAGTACTATGGCTATTGCTAGGAACATCCCTCTCTTAAGGAGTACCAACATGGTTTGCATCATTTAGGAGTATTGTTTTTAGGAGTATTGTTTTATGTTGGCTACATGTCAGATGAAATGGTCAAGAGAAAAGGGAGGAGAGAGGAGTGAGAAAAAGGGCTAAGAAGATGGCAAGACAGTAAGGTAAGGCATGTATGGATGCTCAGAGTTCTCAATTTTTCTGTGTCTGAAAACTTTTTCCTTTTTTTTTTTTTTTTTTTT